GAGTGTAGACAGGGAGACACACCGACTATAATAGAAGTTAATAAAGAGTTGACTATCTTTATGAACAGAGATCCACGTAAAACAGATGAAGAGGTGATTAATTCAGCTGGGGGTGGAGGCGTGGTGGGTAGAAGGGCCGGGAAAGGCTTTGGAGAGGATGGAACATTTGAGTCATTCCTTCAAGAATGAGCACAATTTCATTTTGGGCAGAGGAAGAAGCATGACCAAAGCCTGAAAGTAACTATCCTTATCCAAGGCATCACAGCAGATTGCAGGAGGGGTGGTTGAGAGTGGAGAGACACACCTGATGAAGCTGGCAAGGGCCAGCCTGGGAAGTTGTTTGATGCTCTACCAGGAAGACTACAAAGAGCAGCCTTCCTGTTCTTGAATTTCTGGTGCAATTATTCTTTGTGAACTTATTTTGGTATTAACTTTTCATTTTTAATAAATATCTACATGTGATTTATAGGCTCCTGGACAATCAGAAATTACTGTAGTGATTTACTTTCCTTCTCAGTTCTTCCATGCAGTGCAGTACGTAGGACTGTAAGCAGCAGATCAGAGAGATGAGAAATATAGATTTAGAGTTTGAGTTCTCTCGCTGCTGTCCCCATTGTCCTCACTTCTAACTGGGTGAATGTAAGCAAGTTACATCACCTCTCTAAATGTCACGTGTTTCCTTTGAAAATGGGCATAATATCAATTTCTATATGATAGGCCTTCTCTAATGATTCCATAAATGCTTAATAAATGTTTGCTATCAATTATTCAATAAGCATTAATTGACAACCTACTATAGTGTAAGATATGTACTAGATTTCTATTATACAGTGATGAGTTAAACAGGCAAGACAGGAGTTTTATAGTCCAGTATTTGTCATTATTATTACTACTATTATTAATATACTTGGAAATCATTAGTAAGTACTATTAAGACAAATTAATGTGTTTCAGTATCCTATTCATGGTTGGACCAATCCCCTCTTGCCGTGGTCCTGGAACATGCTACATGATGACTGATTGACAAGACCTCCATCCAATGCTTATGAAGCCTGTCAACTACATGGTTGTGCAGACTTTGCAGAGCCATCATTCTAATTAGGTTCAAGAGGTGCAGTGACTCTGGACGTGGCCCTAGATAAGACCAACCTCAGGGGGGTGACCATGCAGGCTCAAAACTAATTCTGGGTATGGCTCAGTCAAATTTGGGCTGCTTGAACTGTTCTCCAAAATGTGTGATTACTAGAGTTCAGGAATGCAGAGCTCTGGAATCCTGGGATTAGCTAATTTGGGGGCAAGTTATTCTAAGATAAAGCTATATTTTTGTTTTTAATGCTGCTCAAGTGAGGGCACAAAAGCAAACACTGCCTAAATCCTGGTAGATGTGACAATTTCTTGCTTGACAAAGGGATGAAACTGTTGATCACCAAGACGTACAGTCACCAACAGCAGAGAAAGGGACTGGAGACAGGTATGCACTGAGACTTGAAAGTCAACCTAACGACAACCTGGGTCTGCTGGCCTCTGTGTCTGCTGGCCTCTGGTGAGGCAGATCACCATAGTCCTGCCTAATACAGTAATTTAACTTCTTAGTACAACTATAGAAATAAAATCTTTAAACAGTGTACTGGCAAACAGTCTTTCATTGATTGTATTTTTCTAACTTTGCCTCTGTTTATTTGCTGCTCAGTTTAGCTTTTTGCTTTTTAAAAAACACTTTCAGCATCTGTATGTGTGTCCTGTGTGCAACTTATTTCTAGTTGCCAAATTGTTTTTTCTTCCCTCAAGGGGAAATCCTAAGATACCCTGCCTGTAGCACCCCAATTTGTAATCAGGAGTGGTGCACAGAGCTACATCCTACTCTTTAAATAAACAAATCGAATAGAATTCACTGTCTTTAATCTCCTTCCACATTCTCTCTCTCATTTCCTTTTGTTTGGCCTTATAATTACTTTAAGTTCTCTTCTGATCAGTGATTATAATTCCTGATTTATGTAAGCTATAGCTTCCAAGATTATTGTTAGCCAAGGCCTTTTCTGTAATGAAATCTTAAAAGATGTTTGTAAAATTAAATTTTAAAGGAAATTTGAAAACCTTTAAGATACTACAAGCAGATATGGTCAATATAGATGCCAAGAACCACATGATTTCACTCATATGTGGGATATAAAACAGAAAGCAACAAACAAACAAAACAAACAGACTCGTAGATACAGAAAATGTTGTGCTGTTTACCAAAGGGGATGGGATCCGGGGGGATGAGGAAGAGGGTAAACGGTCAAATATATGGTGATGGAAGGAGACTAGACTTTGGGTGGTGAGCACAAAATGCAATATATGGATGATGTATTATAGAATTGTACACCTGAAATTTATATAATGTTATTAACCAATATCACCCCAGCACATTTAATTAGAAAGATATAGCTATTCAGAATAGGGCAAAATTTGGAAGTCTGATTGTCTATGTGCCTCAACTTAAACTAGTTTGAATTATGTTTTGTGAAAGATTACCCCAGTTCCCAAGGAATTATGTATGATGTTTGATGCTATGCCATGGTGTGCCTGCAAGTATAAAGAAATACCTTACATACATTAAACACCAAATACATAGTTTTGAAATTGCTTTGAAGAAACAGATCTTCTGGGAAGTCATGGAATATGATAAAATACATCATCTTCATCAGAAAATTAGAGGCAGTAGATGAAGGTGTCTGGGCAAGAGGACAGCCTGAGAGAGAATCTTTCACTAAAATTATACAAATGCCATCAAAAGAATTCCATGATTACACAAGAGAGATAATGAGCAGCTGCTGAGAGAAATCATTTGATACTTTTTGAGTTGACCTCTCACCTACACCAGTCATGTGGTGAGTCAGTACTTTTTAACCTGAAGTAACCTGACTGAATGAAGTGACTCTGCCGGTAATTTCCCAAGACACATAGAGTCACATCTCAAATCCCACCTTAACTTCACAACTGAATAATGCTTATTTGTGAATCAAACCACTAGTAAGCTGTAGACTGTGACAGATGGCAGAGAAAGGAAGTAAGGAAGCAGGAGTTCAAGTCTTCGGCAAAGCTTGAGGAAGTCAGACGAATCTTGATGCTGCATCCCAGGAGTGACAAAGGAGGGTATTCTCTCTGAGGCTGTCAGCTCTCTCAAGAACACCTTGTCTTTAACCCTGTACAGAAAATTAAAGGGCCAAATTCTAGATATTCAGGACTGACTGTCTCATGAGGATTGGACTCATTACAGTAGGGACAGAGCCAAACTTGAGGCAACGGGCATGTGCCAGCATAGCTCTAATCAGCCCCAGGGTGGCTGACATCAACATTGCAGAGTTGGCATGAGGACCAGGAAGCTGAACATGGGGGACCAGGAAGCGGTGCACTTGCTCCATCCAGGTTTGAAGGGAGAAGTCAAATATTGTTTTAACCGACTTCACAAAGAGAGTATTGGGAAGGTGTGAGGATTGAAAAGGAGCTTCACCAGCCTTGGTTCAAATAGCCTATTCAATTAAATTCAGCAGTGATTATTGAGCACTGATCATGTGTAAAGTATTGTGAGATAAAAAAAGTCCAGGCTCTCAATCTAGTGGGGAAAACAAGACATACAAAAATAACAATAAGGCAAAAATGTAAGTTCCTGAAGAAAGATGGAAACAAAGAATTACGCTAGATTCAAAGGCAAGAGAGAAGGTATCTTATGCAGTGTATCTACAAAAGTCTTCATGGAAGATGTCAGCTTGGGAATGATTTTGAGAGGTAGGAGCTTGCAGAGAGAGAAGTGCATTCCAGGGAGAGGAGGTATCATAAACAGGTCAGGAACCAGAAAGCACAGGTTTCATTTGCATATTGTAATATATACCACTTTGGCAGGGGGTCAAGCATTTGTCATAAACCATTGGAAGATGAGATTGGAAAATCATCTGGAGCCAGATGGTGTAGTCATTGAGTATCAGAGGGAATGGGTTGTCACTAAGGAGTGTAAGCAAGGTTACTTCTAGAAGCCTTTGTGCCAGATTTCTCCATCGCATAGGCCCTAAAAACACAATTAAAATTACTTAGTTTGCCTATGTCTCCTTTAGCCATGGCTGAAATAACAAGGCTTTTCTAGAATGGAGGCCTGAATGCACACCTCCAAAATGAGAAATCTCTCTATTGTATGCATTTATGTCAGGTTTAGCTCCCTTTTATTTTCCGCATTTTGCTTACTCTAGTAAATTGTGATAGAGGGTGAGACCCGGCCAGCGTAGTCACTTCCCCCCCAAATCAAAACAGTCAACTCAACTCCAGAATGAGCATGAGGCTTTTTCTATGTATCAAATGATGGGCTGAGGTTCAGAGGTTTTCAGCTGAGCTCTGCTCTTACTGACTGAAGACATCTTAATGACACTTAAATATTATAAGAGTCACTGGGCTAGAGCCTGTAAGTGCTCCTCGTGCCCTGCCTCTGTAGAGCAGGGCCCTATGTAGGGAAGAAGGCGAGAGAATGTAGGACAAGTCCTACTGGCCTGGCAAGGGTCCCACCTAATTCCTCATGACGTGTTCCATGCAGGTGACACCTTCTTGAAGGTGTGGATAGGCAGTTAATTTCATGGAGAGTAGGAGGTGTAGGTTTAGCTTTTTTTTTTTTTTTTTTTACAGTGGGGCAGTATCTGAATGATATTCATTCTCTCTTGACTCTGGACTTCACGCAACAAGCAGGAACTGGATGCTCTTTTACAATTAGCAAAAGCCACTGAAAGATACTGGTTTGGGTCCTTGTTTAGGAGAAAGAGTTGACTGAGAAGTGCTCCCTGGTCAAGAAGTAAACCAATATTTGCATAGGAAAACAAGATCTGTGGAAAAGAAAACCTGTGGGCTTCTTACCCCAGCCATCACGAAAGCTATGCCGTGAAAAGGCCTTTGACCCATTGACACACAGCAAGTTGGACCAATTCTTCTTTTGAGGGGTGAAGGAAAAAGGAGAAATTCTCATTTGTGGTGTTTGGAGGATGGCTTCCCAGTTTCACCAGCTTCGGGTCCTGGTCTGGAAAAATTGGCTAGGTGTCAAGAGGCAGCCGGTGAGTAAAAAAAAGGGATGGAGCCCTGAGGGCAATAGTCCAGGCAATCCCAAAATGTGATGTTAATGAGAGGTAAATAGAGAAGAGTTTTAAGACAATTTTTAAAGCAGGAAATAAGATATTTAGAAACCATCCTGCATCTGTCTTCTAGCTAATGGAGCGAGTCTGAACTTGTCCCTAAAGCAGCGTTTTGATTTCAGTAAATTAAAAGGGTGAATCAGGATATGCCCTGGGTAAAGGAAAGGATGTGTCTTGCTACTGATTGAATTGGAACTGGTGTTGGATTCTAGGTTTCTGGCCAAGATGCTTTTAAAGATTTTCTTGATGAATGTTGTTAAAAATGAGATGAAGAAAAGTATCAGATGGAAGGTACAATAAATGTGAGAGAAGTGTACTTGAAAACCAAAAGCAATAGAAAGCATGGTTGAAAAGTAAGATATAGAAAGTAGATAGGTTGAAGGCTGTTGGTATAGAAAAACTTCTAAGAAATTTTAGTATCAAAAAATTATTTACTAGAAATGCCAAGCAAGAACCGATGTATGTGCCATGTTTCCAGAGTATTATAAAATCACTTAACTTCCCTACTATAGTCTGTCTACTCCGCTCATTGCAACATCTTTTTTGTGCTTTTACATTCATGTTTGTTTTTTAAATTACAAAGCTAGCTATTAGATCCTTACCAGATAAGGTCCTGGGAGATTGAGAAAGGAATTGGCTTCTGTGAATTGTTACGTATTCAGATGTTTGGAAACCAGAGAATCTAAAACGGCACTCAATATACTCCATTTTAGAGTGGTACTTCCCAGGCTTATGTGAATACTATAAATATTATGCAAATAGCGTGCGTCATAGAAACCAACATTTTATCTGTGTACTTTATCTCACTCTAGGTTTGCTTACAGTGCCTGACACCTTACTGAAGTGTTCCAATGTATATATTAAGAGGGAGAAGTAAATGTTCATTCACCTTTGTGGATTTGGTGGGTAGGGTTTTAAATCATAAGGCATGGGTGTGGGGTTTGGACATGAAATTTTAAATCATTACTATTTTTATTTCACTGTTTTTTAACTGGAAACAACACAAAGGAAAGCTTCCCATAATTATTCCATGGTAGTTTTTGTGTAGAGTTCAACAGAGAGAGTGTTGGGTAGGTGGATGTGGTCAGAAGATGAAAGTTGGGTTCTTGGTTTTGCTTCTTACCAGCTCCAAGACTTGAGCAGCATATCACAGTTTCTCTGAGCATTGGTTTTTCCATTTCTAAAATGGGCTTGAGATCTACCGTATCTGCCTCATAGAGTAGTGAGAACCAAAGGTGCTAATGTATTTCAAAGTGCTTTATAAATGGTGAAACCCTCAGTAAATAGATTATAGAGGCATTTGGGGCAACGTGTGTGTCATATTTTATTCAATGTAATGATGAAAGGAAATCCAGGAGAAGGAATTGTGGGAGAGAGGAAAAATTTATATACAGTAAAGCTCTTAAATGATGAAAATTCAATAGTTGAAAATAAAGGCATAGAGGAACTGAAAACATCAATTGTTGCTGATAAACAGAATGCTGAGGTTATATATTTTCCTTACAACTCCATTTTACTTAAAAATTAAAAAAAACAAAACACACCCCTCAGGTGAATAAAATTTTTCATTGAGACATTTTATCTTTAGAAACTTTAATAAGTTTCTTCCTCATCTGTAAAGTAGCTGGTACATCAATTTTCTACTTTAGGGTTTTTTTTTTACTTTAGTCAGTTTCTGCTGGACATGGTATATTTGGAGGAGAAGGAAGTTAGGCTAAAATGTTCTTACTATGATACCTTATATTATTCCTATTTAGCCAAAATCCCCCCAAAGCCCCTGGTAATTATACTTTTGCCTAGGGCAAGAGAATACATAAGCTATTAGTTCATTCTGGGACATGTAATGATACAGAAGTTAAGTGCAACTTGACAGAATGGGATCCAGGACAGAAAGCCTTTGTTGTAGGAATAGAGATCAGAAAAAGTCCAGAATCTGGGGTAAAATAGAAAGCTCACCTGAATCCATTATGACCACCTAGAGGAACACAAGTGACCTTTAGAAAATAGTGGCACCAAAAGGAGAAAGACTGACAATTCTAAGTGGAGGGCAAGGGAGCAAAGAAAGATATTTCTTTTTTCATAGTTTTATCACGGCTAGTCTTGTATCTTGGTATTGGAAAGAAGACCTGAGGACACAGATGGAAAGGATATCCACGTGCCAGTGTTATTTAAGAGGAAAAAATGACAAAATCAGGAAGTTGGAAAGTTAGGGTTAAAAATCTAAAAGGAGACAAAATGAAAGAAAATTGTGAACAAAGAAAACACAAATTAGAAGACAGAGAATGTGAAAATCAGGTGTATATAAATTTGAGGAGAAGACGTAGTTTTTGTGTAAGAACGGAATTTTGTCATCCATCAAGTGATTATTTAAAATGCAAGTGTTTTAATCCTTTTGTAATTATTCTGTATGTGGTACTTTAAAAATAGATGCTTATACTGAGGAAAATAGAGTTAGTGTGTGATACTGAAAATGTATAGTCCTTACTGAATGTCAAGGAAAAAATGCTAACATCACCACTATGACATTCACATCTGGCCTGGTTTGAAGAGATTCTATACAAAGGAAGGTAATGGGAAGGATCGTCTATAAAGGAAGAAGTTAGGAATCTATTAATGGAGAAACAAATGCTGTATGAGAAAGAATAAAAAAAGAAAACAAAGATATAGTGAAAATATTAAAATAGTGTGGGGATTATTGAGGAAACATTATAAAAATATATACTATGATAGAAAGTCAGAGAAGAATTTTATTTTATTCTATTTTTAATTTTTTTCTAAAGATTTTATTGGGTAATTGGAGAGAGGAATAGCATTGGGGAATCAGGGAAGGGGAACAGACAAGTTGCCGTCCTTTTGTTCTTCAGTCTAGTTGTGGAGGACATCGCTTCACTGGCCCATTTTGGTATTGTGATCATTGTGCTCTCCCTGGGTGGCAGATGGGTCACCAGCCACTGGACGGCCGCTCACGGCGGCTCACAGCAGCTAACACTGGCTGCTGGTCACTCATGGTAGCTTACAGCAGTCCAACTCCAGGTCAAGCTGTTTGTTGTTCACCATCTTAGCTGTAGCGGGCGGACCGTCACTGGCCCTCATGCGAGATCCAAACCGGGGCCCTGCTGCTCAGAGCTGGCATCCCAAGCCAACTCTTAACCAACGTGCCACTCGGCCGGCCCTAGGGAAGAATTTTAAACAACTATATACTCTAAGAAATAGAATGACAATGGAATAAGCTAAATGTTGTGTTTGGCTGCAAAGAAGGAAGACAGGGATCTTAAATTTTTGGGGTGAATTCCTTCAAAATGGTCTTAGAGTAGGTATTTCTCTCTCTCTGTCTCTCTCTCTGTCTCTCTCTCTGTCTCTCTCTCTCTGTCTCTTTCTCTCGCACTCTCTGTAAAATCATATATCAGAATTCTGGATATTTGAGAATATCTAGCTGCTTTAATTGTATAGGGTTTCAGAGAGTTCAAGGGACTTGTTCAAGGTCACACAGTGAATTGAAGAACTCAAATTCTGATTTCCCCCAAAATAGATCTATTCTTTCTATTACTTCCTGAGTCGAGTTTCTTTATTGCTCCTGAGTTGAGTTTCCTTGCTCAATATTCTCTGATTCCTGCTCAGAGTTCAGCTCACTAACAAAGGGATCATATTTGCTAAGGAGGCCTTAGATTTTGCTGTTTTTTAAATATTAGTGGTAATATCAATTCTCAATTACATTGTTTTAACCTAAAAATTAAACTCCAATTTAAGAGGCAACAGCATTTATTTGAGCTCAAAGAACAGAGCTCAAATTCTGGAAGCACTAATTTAGGCAGAAACCCAAACAGTGTTCTGGGTGGAAGGCAAGGCATTTCTATGAGAAAAGAAAGGGAAATAATTATATAAATGGAAGGAAGGAATTTCTACTGGTGCTAATAAGCTAAGTTATTCATTTGCTCTGCATGGCTGTTCGCTGATTCTAAAAAAGGTCTTTAACCTTCAGTCTTTGTGATCAAGGTGTTCACTTTCCTGTTAGCTCTACAAACAGTCGTTTGGAAGACAAGGCTGCCCTGGCTCGGTATAAAGGTTATTTTGTTGTTATAGTCAAACACTTTAAAGGTTCAAGGAGTAAGATGTGCAAGGCCTTTTCTCTGGGATAGTGGCTCCGGCTCCATTTTGAAATGGCTCCACTTACATCGTTTTTCTTATTTCCCTCTTTTGAGTGAGATCTCTTCTTGAAAGCATCGCTGATCAACCATTGGAAAGCAACCCTAATCAGTTGTTCAAAGCTTTGTTGATCTGTCATTGGGAAAGCGCATTTCCAGTATATCATGTCCCATGTAGAAGAGAAAGTAGTTTCCTTACGAGTCTTAGGTCATATTTGAACAACAAGAGCACTAGAATGGAGGCAGGCCTTATGGTCATGCTTCTTTATGGGCAAACATCTTCAGCAGTTCCTTTAGGTATTTCATATGAAGTCTCATAGGCTTTGGTGATTATCTCAAAGCTCTGAGTGACCATTATCCAAGTGATGACTTCATAACATGAAGCTATGTAGCAGACAAAGTTTTATAACAGCAAGAATTTCTATGACAAACAAAATACTAAGTCGATTTGGAGAAGAGGCTTCAGGGGAAGGCAACACCTGAGGGCGGCCAGCTAACAAGGTCAAGGATCACGGGTGTCAGTGGGCATTGTATTTAACACTTTGCTCTGTGCCTGCCTGAATTTTATCTAGTTCTGTCTCTTCTTCCGCAGAGGTAGACCTGTGGTATAAGCAATCAGGTATTTAATAAAAGACATTTCTATGGAAACAAAAGAAAAGCAAAAATGAAGGGAGAAAAACCAGTGTCTGAGCCTAAGGGACTGCTAGCCAAGAAAAATTTTAGATGTCAAGGTCCAAGCGTCTTTTGCAGTTTGAAGTGTCTCTGATGATGTCATCAATT